GTCAATAACGTAGATCTTACGACTGTTTTCTTTGCTTATTACATCCGTCAGGTCGTTGATCAAAATGACAAATAAATGGACCCTAGACTGATCCTTGCAGAACCCTAGTTGACGGAGGTTACCAATTTGATTGAGTGTTACTAAGGATGACTCGTTGAGACTTGTTAAGTAGAAAAGATTTAATCCAATTGAGAAAATTACCTTCAATTCCGTACATTTTTAGTTTGTAAAGCATTCGTGATGTGGCACTTTGTCAAATACTTTGGCAAAATCTAAGAATATGACGTCAACTGATAGTTTTCTGGCCATATTGGGTTAGTTCTTCGATAGAAATGGGGAAAATTTCATTGGATGACTCTTTACTAAAAACTGCTTGAAATTGATTGTTAAGTGAAGTTGCTATTTTAATTTTGTCAGAACTAATGATTACACTGGAACTGGTGATTCGCATAGATGAGTTCTGCTTTATTACAGAGCGTTTACTATTTATGTATGAAATCTTAGTGTTGTGCTTATCATTTGCAAGAACAAATTCAAAGGATTTCAGAGAAGAACAACTTAATTTTTTCACAAATTTTCTAGTTTCACTATAATCCTCAACCAAGGATGTGATTTTCCATTTTAAACTGACGTTACAAGCTCACAGCAATTTTTTAAGACGAATCTGAGATAAAAGTTTTTTTGTCATCTATGGTTGTTTATTTGGGAATGGTTTATTTGGCATATGATGGATGAATCGAAGACAACATTCATTGTATTTGTTTATCCAAAGTTGGTAACATTGTTCTACGTTCAAATCTTTAAAAATAGATGACCAGTCAACCTTATTGAATTCTTTGTTGAATTTTTTTGTAGTTACCAAGGTTGTAAATAAATTTAGAGCTGTTGAAATGCGATAAACTTACGCTGGAAGCCAGTTTGTATTGCCAGGTGATAGAGCAATCATATTGGTCAGACAAACCTAGTGGATGACCGATGTTGATATTGTTATTACGATATGGAGAGTCTTATATTATGAGATCAAGAGTGTTTGTCATACGGCAATTAGCAAGTTTGAAAGTAGGGACAGTGACAATTTGGTCAAGATGACAATCTTGAAGAAGAGAGACAAATAAAAAACTGAGACCGCTTTTACTAAAAGAGCAGACTGATTTGGAAGTCCAAGTAATCTCTGGGAAATTGAAATCACTGGAAATGATGATACCATTGTATTTTTTGGTCAATAATGATGTTTCAGCATTGAAAATTGCTTTTGAAATCTCTGAGAAGGCTTTGATACCAGAAGATGGAGGTCTATAAATGTAGCCTAGAAGCAGAGTTTCATTCATAAGCTTTAGTTAGTGACCCATATTTATTCTGAATAGTAGTAGGGATTCCTTTAGTTGGTTTAAGATGATTTTATTGTTTGTGTATATAGCTTCTATACGCCCCCTCCAATTTGTTTCAGACGGTTTGAACAATAGAGGTTGTAGTTTGGAAGAGAGGGAGTTGATTAGTCGTTGAACTATGTCTCGGGGATGAAAATAATTTTAAAGGAGTTGTTTTCTGCAAGTAAGGAGATTTCAATAAGGTTTGTTTGATGTAGTGCATTAGTGTAGAAGATTAGATAATTTAATGAAAGAGTTGGCTTTATTTAAAAATGTTGAACTAGTACGATACTGAGAGCGTTTGAACGGCCTCAGCTGCTGATTTCCTTTTGAGGAATAGGTTCCTTTTTCTTCCATTGATATTGACTGTTTTGGATGTGACAATGCATTTGATTTTTTCTTTGCGGATGATAAATCGAAAGGGTTTGTCATGTAAATCTTTGCCAATAGTTCTGCAATTTCGGTAGCACGCTTTTTTTTAAGTTGTTGAATTTTTCTTGTTCGAGAGTTGTACGGTCTGGACAAATGTGGACAGATTTTAATTTGTTTATTTAGGCAAGTTGTTTTGAATTAGATAAGATCATTACGGTGCTCATTCCAGTTAAACTCAATGATGATCATTTTATTTGGTTAAGCTGCTATTTTAGTTAAACTGGTGGTATTGTTGAACTTTTTTGAGAATTGCTCAACAACTTTAAAAGCGACATTATAGTTAAGCTTTTTGAGCCTACTTTGAACTGAAGTTAGCCTCTAATTATTGTCTGAAGATTTTAGAATACCGGCAACTATAGCTCTTTTAGATTTCGTTTCTACAATTTTGGCATTTTCGTTGACTGCTGTATTAATTGCTTTATTAGCTTCTGAACCGTGCTTGACTGCGCTTGCCCAGTTAAGAGTTGTGGTCAAATTCATAGGTGCTAACTTTGGTTGTTGAGAGTGATATGCTTTTAGAGTAATATTTTCGTTTTCAAGAACATATACGCGGGTGAGAAGTATGCTGACTGTGGTTATTAGTTTTAATATTGTAGCATCAAGCTTTTGAGAAGCAGCAGAATGGTTACCTTGACCTAAGCCTTGCCAGTTGGCTGCTAGAGTTGCAGGTTGGTCAGTTGGATAAGGTATGCTCATTATCACCAATGATTTACCAATCGTTCAATCTGATGTTTTATATTTTATAAGAAGGGCTACCACTCTGAATAACAGTGGATTACCTCTTGGTCGAGAACTTTTTGAACTTTTTTATTCTTATTAACACAAATACTTATTAAACAGGTACTAAAAGGTTTCAGTATATATCTATTAATATCTATCTATCTAAAAGGTTTCGTGTATTTAAGAAAAATAGATTCAATCTTGTTCCGAAGCAAGTTAACCCATTAAATTGCCCTAAGCTGCGAATTGTTGAGTATTACTCGGCAGTAGTTATGGGAATACTGAGGAAAAAAGAAAAGTGTGGAAATAATTTTGAAAACTTTCGAGATTTATGGTTAAACGCTACAAATAAAGTGGCAGAAAGTCAAGTTGTGGTTTTGATGGAGTGGGAAGGGGAAGGAACTGGATGTTCTTTGTAAAAAATTAAATTGATAGCATCTCATAAAACTGAGGCTTGATTTTATTTGTAGAAAAGAAAATTAAAGATATAATATTAAAAAAAATTTCAACTTATTAAGTATTTATGAGAAAACACATAAAGTCTTCTAAATTAAAATTTTATTTCTTCTAAATAATGATAAACTTTTGTAAAAAAAATGTACTATCAGATATTCATCTTTTCTAAGTTAGTTTCTTTATGAACTGTTTAATAATCGAAGTTTGAAAATAATAAAAGATTATGTTGATTATAATAGTCAAAAATTTGTTGATTATAATAGTCAAAAAGACTATAGCAGACTATGATGCAGACTATAGCAGACTACAATGCAGACTATAGCAGGCTATAGATGCAAGAATGAGGTCAAAAAGGTTTAAATGTGAAAACTTCAAAGCGTATTTAAAAGCACTTTTTATCAAAAGATTTTTCACAGTCTGCAGACTGTGAAAAAGATTTTCCACAGTCTGCAGACTGTGAAAAGAAGTTTTTATCAATCTTGAAAATAAATCTTATTTATCTCTCTTATTACGTTGTGGAATCTTATTTATCTCTCTTATTACGTTGTGGAATCATATTTATCTCTCTTATTACGTTGTGGAATCTTATTTATCTCTCTTATTACGTTGTGGAATCTTATTTATCTCTCTTATTACGTTGTGGACTATTTGTTTCATAGAAACTGCTTCTAGAATTTGTTTGTAGTGTATTTGTTATTTTGGATTTAATTAAGAATGAAGTTGCATCTTTATCAATTTTAGTCATCAATATGTGTGTTACATAAATACCAAAATGGAAATTTATTTGTGAAAACTGTATTTTTAACAGAAACTCTTGATAACTTAAAAACACTTCTTTTAATAATGAAAAATAAAAAAAATGCAAATATGCGATTTGTTTTTGTTTATATGCTTGAATAAAATTTACTCATTATTCAATACCTTTGAAGTATTTTTTAGCATTTTTTTCCAAGAGTTTCATTTGCTTTACCTTATTATTTTATTTGATAAATACCCATTATATAATGTAAGGTAAGTTAAGTTATATAACGGAAAAACGTAATATGATCATCTAGGAGTTTTTTTTTTAGTTTTTTTTTCAATAAATGATTATCTTGGAATTTTTCCTTCAAAAATAACAATCCTCGAGGATTGTTATTTGCTCCTTTGAGTTCCGATTATCAATTACACATTTAAAAACTTAACAATAATTTACGGGAATTAGCTTTTTAAGACAATTTTTATTGTTTTTTTTTTTTTGCTTTGCATTAAGTTTTCTAAATTTAGTTCATAACTGCATGGCGCCCGCAGGGTTATTTTAATGTTTCAGATGTAACACTATAACGCATTGGCCAAGTCAAAAATTAAGTATGTTCATGACTAAGCTAAATGAGAATGCTTTGCTAAAAATCGCGATGTCCTGAGAACGAAAATATCCTAAAACGTTTTCCCTCTCTGCCCAAACGTGAGAGCACTAATGTAGTAAGATTTTAAATTATGCTATCTTATAGCAAATCATCGACAGATGATTTGCTATAAGATAGCATAATTTAAAATCTTACTGCATTAAATTAAATTTCAAACTTTACAGCCCCCTCATTAATTTTCAAACTTTACAGCCCCCTCATGTGGGGTGGGGGAGATAAGAGAGTGGGGGATTATGAAAGTTTGCATGGTTATAGCTTTTAAACTTTACAATAATTTTGAATAAAATTGAAAACCTGTCAATGACTTTAAAGTTAGTATAAAATAGGTAAATTTTACTACATCAATACCCTCACGTTTAGGCAGGAATGATCAAATTTTTTAGAGCGTTTTTGCTCCCAGGCCTCCATAATTTTCATATGGCATAAGTATGAACATACCTAAGTTTGGACTTTGCACAATGCGTGAAAAGTGTCATATCTGAAATAACAAAAAATCCTGCGAGCGCCCATGCATGACTGACTTTGTTTATTGCCAAACAATATTTTGATCTTGACTTAATAAATTTTGCTTTATAAATTGTATGTAAACAATCCTTACTTTTTTTTAATTTATTTTTAGGGTGACAATACTCTTCATGCTGCTCGAGAAATCTTTAGTAAACTTGATTTTAAATAATGTTTTCATTTGCAGCAAAATGTAAAATTATTATCTTTTTTTTAATTAATTGCGCTTCTGCTTTGTTTTATATATGTTATGCGCGGATTGTGAAACTGCCCGGTTTGTTCAGTTTGCGCGAATAAAATTCTATGGATTTAAGATAAATATTTACATGCAAAATGTTTTGCAACTTAACGATTTTGTTTTACATGCTATAATATAAAGCATACTTCTTTCCCATGGTACGCAAAGCTATTTCAATAACTGCTGGGTTGTTTTACTAACTTTGCGTAACATTTAGGCGTATTTTAAGAAATCATTTTAGACCCTTCTCATAACATTTTTAAATTTATTTTTAATTGT